CAGTGTGGATGATCTCTTGCGCAAGAAAGCTCCGATGGCCATTTTAGCCATGGGGCTTTCTTGCGCAAGAAATTCCTGCCACGCGTCCACACCGCTCTCTTGCACAGGATCTCTTGCACAAAAGGGCTTACATTTTTTAGAAAAGAGTGTAACTCTTGCACAAGAAGCCCTCTCTTCTCACGCTTCACTGTAAACCTTCTTGAGCAAGAGCAGGTGGGCAGTGTGGATGCTCTGCAGAAGAACGGCTATTTTTGCACAAGAACTCACCAGTGTAGACATAGCCCTGGTATGGTTCACTGTCCCATGCAGTGGCACCTAGACCACAGCAACAGATAAAAACAAGAGACCTCTACAGCAGGGGCTGAGAGGGAGCTGGATTTTAGCTCAAAGGGTAGAGACTCCTATATTAAACACCAGAAGTTCTAGGTTCAAACCTACCTGCTGGCAGTTACACTTCTACACCACAGATGTTGCTCTGGGACTCCTGGACCACAGAGTTTCAACCTGTAGCATATCAGTTCAGTGAGAACAAGATATGTTCATAATAAATGTAGAATGTGTTTAATATTGAAGAGATATTTTCAACATATTTCTAATAGCCTCTTCAACCAAAATATTGCTGAATTACAATCTCCACTCATTTAAACTATTAGCAATTTTGATTCTATGGGGATTTTTTTAGTGAAGATAAATTTTAGTCATTCCACCGGGAGGTGCAATATGAAATTGTATTAGTTTTCACCACCGAGAGACAAATCTCCAGTGCAACTCTGCTCAGGATAAATGAGATAGAAACCAGAGGTGGATTTGGTTCTTTATGAGGAAACTCAATATAGTCAATCTAGGAGGCACGCAGTCCTGTGGATAGGGCATTGGAAGGGGAATCTAAAGATCTGGATCCTGTTCCTGACTGCATCAATAATCTTGTGTGTGTCAAATATTTGCTTTTGAAACAGGTTCTTTGGTTTAAGTGGATTCAATCCCCATTTAGCCCTAATTCGTTACCCAATTAAACACTGCATCTCCCTTGTAACCTGAGAATTACAAAAGTTTGCCTTTGATAAAGCAGAAGCACATCTGAAATTTCAATTGCATGCAGCTGAAGTGTCTGTAGCATGTCTTTCATAGACTTTTAACCAAAATACTTTTGGGTATTAGCCTTTAAATTTAATATTCTGTATTTAACATAAATAGTTGCTCCCCCTCCCATCATCCACAGAATAATGCCTTACCATTAAGAGTTAAGCACATGGAGATATTATGTAAGTAGAGTTATATTTGCACATGCTGCCAATGAATATTAAAGCAATGTTGGGAACAGCTATTTTGAATTGAATTGCAGATAATCCATGGTATAAGATTTATTTAGTTTTCCAGATTGGCTTACATGCATGTAATGCCTTGAAAATTAGGCTTAGTGTATGTACTAAAAGAGTGAGGTGAGGTGATGTGCTGGTCAAGTGGCCCTATCATCTCCTCCTCTCTGTTTTAATATTCAACATGACAGTATTGCCTGAGGAAATTTCTAGTGCTTTGCATTTAATGAGATCAAGAGTGGTTCCAAAGAGGCTGGAGAGAGGCTGTTCTCAGTGGTGGCAGATGATAGAATGAGGAGCAATGGTCTCAGGTTACAGTGGGGGAGGTCAGGGTTGGATTTTAGGAAAAAGTATTTCCCTAGGAGGGTGGTGAAGACTGGAATGGGCTACCAAGGGAGGTGGTGGAATCTCCATGCCTAGGTTTTCTGTTGTTTTTTTTAAAGTTCTGGCTTGGCAAAACCCTCTCTGGGGTGATTCACTTGGAATTGGTCCTGCTTTAGGAAGAGGGTTGGAGTTGCTGATCTCCTGAGTTCTCTTCCAATTCTGATTTTCTATGATTTGATGATAAGAGAAAGGGAGAAATCCTGGTAGCTGCCTAGAACTAAGAAACATGCTTGCTGATGGTTTAGAGAACTTTTTAAAGATTTTTTTTGCCACCTCCTAACAGACCTCATCCTGCTCCTGCTTGAGGACTTTTCCTCTTCCCTGTCCTGGGGAAGAGGCTGCTTGGAGCTGTATTCCCCTCCTTCACAGATCCATCACAATATGGCCCTCTCATCCTATTATGGGAAGTTTGGGGAACATGTTACTACAGCACAGTCATTTGAAAATGCATCTCTGAATTCCCCAGCAGGAAACTGCATTAAATGTAGCCGTTCTCCAAAACATGATCTCATACTCAGTAACTGTTTAGGTGTTTAACTATTGAGTGAAATGCCCAGTAAACCAAGCTGAAGTGAGGCCAGGATGAGGTTAGGTTGCTCATGTCCAAGACAAGCGATAGCACAAGTCTGAATGTTCTGAGTGCTATTCCAACCCTGGCCTAGTATTGTTAATGAATGCCATGCTCTACAAAAAGCATTGGCCCCTAGGGCTATGTCTGCACTGGTGGGTTATTGTGCAAGTACGGTCGTTCTTGCGCAAGAACCCGCAGAGCGTCCACACTGCCCACCCTCTCTTGTACAAGAAGATTTACAGTCTGGCGTGGTAGGAGAGGGCTTCTTGCACAAGAGCTATGCTCTTTTCTTACAAGTATAAGCTCTCTTGCAGAGCAGTGTGGACCCGCTGCAGGGGTTTCTTGCACAAGAAAGCCCTATAGCTAAAATGGCCATCGGAGCTTTCTTGCACAAGAGGGCATCCACACTGCCATGGGCGCTCTTGCCCAAAAGCACAGCTCGCACATGGCAGTGTGGACGTGTTCTTGTGCAAGACTTCTTGCACAAGAACCCTTGCACAAGATGTTCTTGTGCAAGAAGCCGCCAGTGTAGACATAGCCTAGGTGTGGGTAGTACGAAGTTAATTTTCAAGATGGCTGTACTGAGCTCCCAAACAACCTGTTCTGGAGTAGAAGCAAACAGAGTAACCCCAGTTCTGAGAAGCCCATGCCTAACTGGTTTTTATGGTCTATGTGATTATATAATCAGCCTATATAGTATTTTTATTAAAATAACTTCCTCCTCTTCTTCCCCTAGAAATCTGTCAAAATAAGGAAAATAAGGTTCACTCCTGAGCACCTTGAACATCCAAAATTCCCTATTTACTTCCAGGAAAGTTTATGTGGATAAGGAAGTTAGGACGGATACTTTTATATGTGTGTGCGTGTGTATAAATCTATCGATATCGATATGCACATACACCTATAGACTTTTGGTGTAACCGTAGTTGGTGAGCATGTGAGTATAGCATGACATTTTTTTAAATGGCAGAAATATTATGAATTTTACTTAGTGAATCTTAGAGAAAACAATGGTTTGCAAGAAACATGATGCTGTCATTGACTTCATTTGAACCATAACACAAAAGCAAATGGTGACCCTTCCCTCTTTTAGCAGGTGACAATTGCTTATTGTATACTCAAAGACTGTGACTTAAAGATAAGGTCACACATTAATAGCAATTATGGCTTCCTCGTTAAAGCTTTGAAGAGTTAATTTACTAAATGGGAGCAAGAGCTGAAGACCCCACTTTTGTTCAGAAGCTGGCTCAGACGTTCAGCATTGTCCTTGGCGCGCGACTGAAAGCGAATGATGAACAAATGACTTCAGGGTTGGTATCATTAAAAAATGACAGGATTAAAACTTCCAAGAGTTCCAATTATTTTAATGACTCTCCCTTCTGTATCATCCCTTCTACACGTAGCATTTATGATAGCTACCTAGAGCATTGTGACACATGGCAGGAGTAGGGGACCCTTTAGGTTATTACCTATGCATCTTGAAATTTGTCTTCTATGATTTTTTTTCCTCTTGTTTAAAATTTAATCATTCAGTAAATCCATGAAAATTCTGTTCCTTCTGCAAGCTAGGCTTTCCAGATTCATAATCTACCTTCTCCCGCATGGGATTGTTTTGTTTTTAAAACTGGCTTTTTTCCCTATATGTACAAGTGCTAACTAGTAAATACTACCATATAGGGTATGTCTAGACTATGTTACTCTTTTGAGATAGCGGAAGTATCCCAAAGTAGCAATGCCACATGTTTAAAAGCTCCCACTATTTCCTGAAATAGCAGGTGTGCAATTCCAGCGTCCCTGTAACCTTCGTTCTACGAGGGTTATGGGATTTGTCGGAATAGTGCCTTATTTTGAAATTTGGTGCTGTGTAGATGGCACCAAATTTCAAAATAAGCTCTTTCAAGTTAGACTCAGAATAAGCTACGCAATTTGCATAGCACAAATTGCGTAGCTTATTCCAACAGAAGGGTGCTGATTCGATGAAGAGAGGGGTAAGACTATCCCATGAGGTATGTTGTAATTAAAAACTATTTATTAGCCTGCCAAAAAACTTTGCCAAATGTGGGTTTCCACTCTCCCACTGATCCCCAGTTGATGTAAATGGTCATAGTGCCATCAGGATCACCCTAACACTTACATAGCACTTTCTGCAGTAGACCTCAAATAACTTAACAAACAATGTCAGTATCTGCATTTTACAGATGGGGAAATTTATGCCTGGGGGCTGAAGTGTGTTGCCCTAGTGTAAGCAGGAAGTCAAAGGCAAATCCAGGAACAGTAACCATGTGTCCTGTGTCCCAGCCTAGTACTCTATCCACCAAGCCGATATGTCTCAATGTCAACATTGAGGCTCTCGTAATGCTCTCAAGGGATACATCTGTGCCTGGCACCACCTCCACCACGTTAACTCTGATGGGATGAACTGGCTTTTGCCCCAAATTTTCACAGAAAGTTGCCCTCTGAGATTTTAAAAAGGGCAGCTTCCTTCTGAGTATACTCATCCTGCTCCGGGGTACCTTATTCTGAGGGAAACCAGGGAGCTACAACTGAAATCCTGTCTCTGTTCACAAAATGCCTGAGCACTTTCAACAGTGTAGGGATCGCCCACCAGTCTGTTGCAGAAGAGCTTAGCAACTGTCACTAGGGAGACTGTCAAAATTCTGAAACATGCAAACAAGAGACACCAAGCAACTTAAGGAAGTTCCAGATTCCTTTACATCTTTCCAAAATAATTGAATTTCTAGCCCTGGCAGAAAAAATACATTTCAACAGTGTGGAGCATCGCTATTGAATAAATAGAAGAACACAAATACTTGCTTTTTAAAAAACAAAATAGCAATATACTTTGCATAGAGTCAAAACAGAAAACAAAGAAATAAATTAATAGCATAATATTAAAAATGCAGGCAGGCTATTACCCTAAAATATATTTAATTAAGGTAAAATTTTATTTAATATAATTGTCTCTGTTGGGTACATCTAAGGACCTTCATCAGCTATCACGGGATTTTTCTTATAAGTTACTGAATACCTAGCTTAATTAATAGAATACTGTATCATATGAAATAGGTACCACAGTGTGATTTTATCATGAGTCTCACGATATTTAGTGTTCTTAATGTCTCAGATCTGGGTGCCAAGTGACAATGTGAGAATCTCAGATTTTTAAAGCAGGTTTGTAATCGGAATGGTTTCAGTAAAAAAGGTTGAAAATGTGATTTAAGGCAACCAAAAGACCAACATAACCCCTCTCCGCCCCCCACATATATTAAGATTTTTGATTTTTGCACGTGATTTTTGAATGCCAGAGTTGGCAATATTGGGACCATTTTAACAATATGTGAGTGACTGTGCCAGCGAGGAGGAATAATGTTAAAATGGGAGGAACTATGCTAGTATCGGTGTTCACCCTCTGAATACACCCGGTTCTTTAAGAAGACAGAGCCTGAGCGGAGGCTTGGTTAATGAAAGTGCTATGCCTTCTGTTTGACTAGCCAGTATCCCAGGTATTCAATAGCTATCCCTACCAGTGGGGGAGGGGAGAAAGATAGGCAAGTCGGGCAGTTGCCCCAGGGCCTGGCGATTGAAAGGCTCCCAGCTACTACCACTGTGGCATGGCTCTGAGGGCTGAGTGTGGGGCTCCAGCACCATGGTCCAGGCCAGTGGTTCTCAACCGTGGGCCATATGGCTCCCCAGGGGCCATGCCCTACCACTAGGGGGCCACATGGAAAAAATGGAACATTAGGTAAATTATGTACCTTTTTTCCAACTAACAGAGGCTATGAGGGGGGCCCCAGAGAGAAACAAGGCTCAGAAGGGGGCCATGAGCCCCCTTCCCTTCCGCCTAACACCCTGCCCTTTCTTGTCCTCCCCTCCCGCACACACACAGCTTGCCCAGGGCTCTATGGAAGCTGTCAGCGCCCATGATGAATAGACATCACAGGGGCTGTTATACCAAATATTCCATCCCTTTAAAAGCCTTGTGACCCTTCAAAAATTGAATGGATTTGTTAGAACATATGAAAGGCCGTACTGGCTCAGACCAAAGGTCCATCTAGCCCAGTATGCTGTCTGCCATTCCTTGTATCTGTCTAAGATATTCACCACTACGGCATCTGAAATCTGGAAAATATTGAATATATTTAGCCTCACAATCCAGCTATGAGGTAGCGGAGTGCTATTATGCCCCTTTGCACACAGAGAGAACTGAGGGCAAGACCACAGAGAAAGTCTATGGCAGAGCAAGAACTTGAACCCAAATTGCCGAATATCTAAGCTTGTAGTTCGGAACCACTGGACCATGCTACTGAAGCACATTTAGTCCTGGCCATTTTGTTCTGTAGCTTTGTTCTCAGCACTCTGTCACAGAGGAATAATGGAAACGATGGACACTGTGCAATGAGGGGTGCTCCCAGAGCTGTCCCCCTCCACCATGGGCCTCTTGCATTCTGGGGCACTGGAACTCTGCACTTCCTACACCGCCCTGCCAGCATTTTTGGAGCACCACAAATCAAGTGAATTGCATTCCGTCCCCACCCCTCCTCCTCCCTCCCAGAGCTGGATGCTGCAAATCAGCTGTTTGTGGCATTCCAGCTCTGGGAAGGAGGTGGATGAGTGGGGACGGAGTGGAAAACAGGAGATTCATGCATTCTGAAACTATTGGGAGGGAAGCAGAGGAGCAAGTAAGTACAGGGCTCCGGAGCCCCAATGTGTGAGAGGCACATGAGGAAGGAGTCAGACAGGGGGACCATGGGTTGATGTGGCCCACTGAGGAGAAGGAGGGCCACTCACATGACCCATCCTCTACTTGCGGTTGCCCATCCCTGTCCTAGTGCGAGAAGAGATCCACAGGGAAATCTAAGGCTTTAGTCCATACATGTGAGCAGTGCAATGACCAAGGCAATTTCTGATCTCTGTGCTTATAGATGTTATTCCTTCATCATTTTGTACATGAGTCAAGTGTGTATCTTGAAACTGTCCACCCCCTGAACTAAGCTGGGAAATTTAACTCTCAATTGAGACTATATTTTTCATCCCTCTCATTTTCCTTATCCTTTGGTATTTCATATCTAATGCTCCTATTGTATTATTTAAGTGTGTTGGGCATTTGGAAGTACAATTTTTATGAGAGACAAAATCAGTAAAACAGGTCAGGAAATTTTTGACAAGTAGTTTTCATTAGAAAATGCTTATTTGTTGAAACCAAAACTGTTTGAAGACTAAGGTCCATCAGGACAAATTTTTCATTTGGAAAAAAAATTGAACCTCCCCTCCCCCCTCAGGTTTTGAAATTGTTGAAACCATAGAAGAGTAGGGTTGGAAGAGAGAACCATGACTTTGCAAGCCTGGCCTAAAAAACCTTTAAAGATGGAGATGTCACTACCTCCCTAGGCAGCCAATTCTAGTGCTTCACCACCCTCCCAGTGAACTTCCTGGATTAACATTTTTAAAATGAAAAAAAAAAAAAAAAAAACCAAGTGTTCCTGTTCAATGAGATTTTAAAGACATTAAAGCTAATTATATTAAAATACTCTTTAAAGTTGAGAATCAATACAAATTTGTGGAAGCTATGGAAATGATATATTTTGAGCTCAACCATGTTTGTTTTGTTTTGGCTTTGGTTTGGGATTGTCTGTAAAAAAATGTTGAGATTGGATTTTCATCTTGATTTGCGACATGAGCAAATGTTTAAATCTGTCCGTTTTTCCTAGGACAAGAACATCATGTCCAGGCAAGCTCTTGAAATCAGGTATTGTATTATTAGAATACAGTAGTAACATGAGACTTTTTAAAGAAAAATAATATTTAGCTTGGAACAAACTTGAGAGGCCTTCACTGAGTTTGAATTATGAAGGGTATTGTGAAAAATTATCTGTCCCTTTTAAAATCCCACTGCAGGAATGGACCAAAAATCAAAGGACGGGGTATTTGAAACAAATAGTTCATGCAGCAGATGGTCAATAGGATAATTCTCTGCTACTAGAAATTGTTGAGACAAATTCTGTGACTGGATCTAATACGAAAGTGGATAATTTTACAGTCATTAACACTGCAAGCTAAGTTTATAAGAAGGGTAATCAAACATCCTACTTCAGGGCATAAACTAATTGCCCAGGAGGTCAGGAAATTACTTATTGCCCCCACATTCAGCATTGAACAAATGCCTAGATGTGCTGTGGGTTATTCTCCTCTTCCTCTGAAACATCAGAGAGAAGCCACAGCCTGGATATCTGTCTGGATGGAATAGTGGCGGGATTCAGAACAGTGAGTCATGGGTCAAATTCTACCCGGCCTCTGTGCAATTTCATTAATTTGTATAGAACAGCTTCCATACAAAATACTTAACAGAGTTAAATATAAATAACAGCTGTGGGTGAGAGAAGTTAAGAGAGCAGGCGGAAGAGCTGGGGGAATAAGTAAAGGTTATAGCTCGAATGGAGGTTATATGTGTTTGGTGATGTGTAGCAGAAAAGGGGGGGTGTTAATGAGGGCAGATCACCTCCTCTTTTAAAATGTGATTAAGTACAGTAGAGGCCCTCCCTTACTTTCCACTGTTGAAAGTTTCTGGAGGGTCAAAGGGAAGGGGAAAGCACAAATATTTTGATGCTCTGGGTATTCACATTTGTAATCCAAAGACCCAGTCTCTGATTTATTATGATAGTGTGTAATAGGCCCGGCCAAAGAGTTCTCAGGGCCCAAGGCAGCATGGTTGAGCCGCACAGCTGCGTGGCTTCCAGTCAGGGCAGCGAGTGAGCGGCCAGGTGGGCGGGGCCAGGAGTTGAGCAGGGCGGGGCCCTAGGCAACTGCCTTGCTCGCTTTGCCCTAAGACTGCGCCTGGCATGTAGGAATTCCAAACAGGAAGTCTTACTCATCATAATTCCCTGCAGTGGGCAGGACTTGGTCGCACACAATACCTGTCACCAAATGTCCCGAGATCCATAAAGCAAACCAGCATTGATTGGGAACACTTGCAGGCACATCAGGCTTTCCATTATGTCATGTATAGCTGCTTTCTCCTGACTCTGCTTTGTCCTTGGTCTTCAAAGGCTGCAGAGTCCCATCCGAGCAGTGTCCACATGGTGACACTTTCATAGGGCTGCAGAATGATGCCATTTAAACTTTCTTTGCTAAATTTCTGGCCATTGGAGGAGCTAATTTTTTTCCTCTTGACTTGCCTGGGTGGCTAAAACCAGAGGGGACATGCTGGCCCTAAATCTTCAGGCTCCACAACGGTGCTAGCTACCCTATGAGAAATCCTCTCTCCGCTAATGAAACATTGAAGTCTATGATTTTAATCACGTGTCAGGAAACTCAAAGTTAGTGTTTCCACAGCAACAGCACACTAAAGCTCTTTGTGTGCTGCAGTCAGTGAAAGCAGAGTTCAATTAAAGATTGTCTCAATTACCTGACAGCCTTTCATCCTCTTGAATTCTATTCCCTTCTCTCAACCCTCCCCCACATTCTTCTAATTATCTTTCCAATAAGCGGCTGGCCTATGCCAGGAATGGCCACCCCATGAACTGCGCTGTCACCCAAGGAGTCTGTGTTTAGGTCCTAGTGACAGTCCTAGTGGAGTGTGGTAGAGAGTCCACGCTCAGCATCAAGCAGCTCTCTGGAAACACAGGCCAATGGATGAAGCAGCTTGGATGGACTCTGAGTGGAAAAACCTCACCTAGGTTTCCACTGCAAGCGGGTTTATTTAGTGGCCGAGGCTTTATCAGAAGCAGGAAATGGAGGAGATCCATGAGGTAGGAGGAACAGAAAGACAATGCATCCCTGAGCCTCTGCAGAGAGAAGGGGTGGGAAGACAACTAAATGGAAAGGAACATAATCCAGTGGCTAAGTCATAGAACTCAGAATCTGGATGGCTTCTACAGCCAGTAAAGGCACCTGTGCTTGATCCGGAAAGCAAAACAGGGAGAATATCGATACCCCACTATTCCAGAGAGGTGTTGCGAGGCTTTGCTAATTCCAATGGGTAACGTGCTTTGAGATCCTCAGAAGGGCTCCAGAAGAGTCAGACACTTGCATGATCAAATGTATTTTACCGCCAACTCAGTAAGATCTATGGGCTTCTTACAAGTCTTGCCAGCGTTTTGCCTTCCGTGTTGCATGCATCTAAAGGACTCTGCCTTCGTGAAAAGCTAATCGGCTGGTGCCTGGGCTGAGCCTCATCGCTGACCAAGCAGCATGGCGTGCTGACTGCCGGGCCATTGGGCAGCTCCTTGGAAGGACATTCTTTTTTCTTCATGTAAGGTCAGAGCCAACTACTCCGCAGGCCATAAAAGCAGCCCCTTGCCTGGCTGCAGTGGAAACAGATTTGACGGGGACTCACGAGGAAGGAGCCCAACAGAAATGAGAAGAGGCAGCCAAAGGTCACCGTGGCCCGGCAGCTGTAAAAACAATCCCAGCGACATCGCTATAAAATGCAGACCTTGGGAGCAACCTCCTACGGCGTCCACCATTGCGCTCACTTACCCCTCCCAACCCCTGCATCGTGCCGGCACAAAAGAGGCAAGGCAACCAGTGGGAGGCATAAGGCAAGGGAGCAAGGGTTGCACAGAGGGAAATGAAGCTCTGTTTGGCAAAGGCCAGTGATGTTGGGGGGGCACCCACTGCCGGCTGCTGAAATCGAGCTTTTTAAGTACGTTTCAGCATAGCATGTTTGCTCCTAAGAAATCTAATATCCTTTGGGTCAGTGCAGGCCAACTGTTAGATATAAAGAATTCATAGTGCTTGCAATCCCCAGATGAACCATTTTCAATTCCTCATGTTTCTGAAAAACCATTGTGCCGATTTATCAGCAGTGGCTGTATGACATAACGAGGACCGTTTCTGGCCTTAATGCCAAAGTGTAAATATTGCATTGCCACAAACAGCAGTAGATAATGCATAATAATGAGCTGTATTTGTTAAGCGAGGTGTTACCTAGTCCCTCAAAACAATGCATTTGGGGTTTTGCTTTGTTTTTTGTTTTTCTTTTTAAGTTTTTCCCCTGCAAAAGAAATAGCTTCAATGCTCACTGCAGAAGTGAAATAATCATTTACAATTCCTGAAAAATAGATGGCATGATAAGAAAGACAAGGACAGGGATGAAAGACCAATTCTGATCTGACAAGGCATTGGTTTCGTCAGTGCAAATTCACTTAGACACCAGCAGGGCTGTAAGCAGAGCTGAATTTTCATGCCGGAGAGATGGACTCTTCATACTGTCTCGTACCGTTTTTTATTAATAGGATAGGACTTCCAGGCTCAGCACATGATTAAACAACTCTCATGAAAAGGAATATTGCTGGAGCCAATGGTAATCAAGAGGTAGCTCTGTGATTTTTTTTCTAGTTAATTTCCAGTTCTCGTCAGAAATACATTCCCTCCCACCTACCTCAGTAAGGCAGGGTACAGAGCTGTCAATCATCTTGCATTGTCAGATACAAGCACGTTAGGAATTACTGAACTAGGGTTTAGCAAATGCAAAGCAAAATCACATCAGTGCAGAGCATGAAGAAGCTGATTAATGTCTCTTCATCCAAGAGTTTTAATAGCGTGGACCAAAATAAAGAGGTACTTTCTCTCCTTTTAAAATACGTTTCAAAAATATTTGTGATAGACAATGAACTCTAGATGTTCAAGTCGTCTAATGGCTGAAAAAGCAGAGTGTGGTCTCTAGGGGTATGTCAAAGCAGTAGGGGTATGTCAAATCAGTAGCTAGACACCTGAGACTGGCCTATGCCAGCCAATAGGGCTTGTGGGACTGGGCTGCCTCATTGCTCTATAAACTTCTGGGCTTGGGCTGGATCCCAAGCTCTAGGGGTGTGTCTAGACTACAGGGTTTTGTCGACAAAAGTGGACTTTTGTCGACAAAACTAAACCTGTGTCTACACTACTGCTGAGTTCTGTCGACATAACGTTGACAGAACTCAGCAGTTTTGTCGACGCAGGTAAACCTCATTTTACAAGGAATAATGCCTTCTGTTGACAGTTCTGTTGACAGAAAGCGTTATTGCATCTAAACTGTCCTTTGCATCTACACTGCCATGTCGACAAAGCAGCTTGCTTTGTCGACAGAACTGAATGTAGTCTAGATGCTCTTTGTCGACAGAAGCTTTGTCAAAGTATCTGTCGACAAAACTTCTGTCGACAAAAGCCTGTAGTCTAGACGTACCCTAGGACTCTGTGTGGTAGGAGGGTCCCAAGTTCAGGCTCCAGCAATGAAAAAGCCCCACAGCCTGTGCCCTGGGAGTTTGAGTGGCAGGTTCAGGACAGCTGGAGGGTTTTTATCTCTGCGCAGACATGTCCAAGCTTCCTATTTAGCCCTCATGTTTCTCCTTCCAGTGCACATTCACCTGAACCTGGAGGTACCACCAGCTTGTCCTGGAACCATTCAGTGCATAGTATTTCTACTGAGAATGCCAACGAATGAAGGGGCATGTTGTCAAGGCTTAATCCCCACTCTGGTACAATGAATGCAGAAGTGGGGGCCTGCAGAAGTACCCCAAATCCTTATCTTTCCAGGCTTCTGTATAAAGCTTCCCCCAAAAATCTTAAAAACCTAGATTTTGGGGATAAAAATCCACTGCCACCACTCAAGTAATGGTAAGAAAACCAGGGAAGAGATCACTTGGGAAATTTCAACCCTAAAGTAAAACCAGGACACCAAAAAATTAACCAATACCAGGTTAATAAAAAAAGAGAGAAAGTACTTGTATTATCACCACAGTTCTCCTGTTACAAGCATAATGACTAGACTGA